TAGCTATTTTTTCAGGGAAAAGTTATATTAGGTAGATATTCTTTACCGAGGGTCTTGTTATAAGGCTCTTATGGAGATCAAGCAATTATCGGCGGTGAAAACGTCACTTGAAAAGTAAGTACACTTTCAGTTTCAATCGCTTTTATTTATCCTTGTTTTGCACGTTTTTCAAATGTTGGCGAAATTTTCTGGTGTCGAATTCTAAGGGACTGTACCCAAATCCTGAAAAAAAATCCTTGTGTTGTGATTTCGTCCTCCATAAAACGTGAAATTAGAAAGTCTCGCGCATTCATGGAATAAAAAATCGTGATGCTCGTGCAAAGCTTTTCAGAAGTTGCTTTGTTGACTTTCCCGTTCTCGTTGCTGTCGTCGCCATCGTCGTTGCTAAAGCTCCTTGTTATGTTACAGCAGAGTGTTACCGTATGGCTTTGTAACTACTAAAGATTCAAATAAAGATTGATCTACCTACTGTTTGGTCTCCTTTATGGATTAAGTTCCAATACTACCATTCTTCCAAATTGTCTTGTACAGTCTTTGTCTTATACGCTGGTGGACGGCCTATTTCGAGCCAGTCCCCGATACAGTTTTCTACGACTGGTGTAGCTATAATTAAATTTCGACCCTGCTCGCCATAGTGTCTCCAGTAGCTTAGTGGTTAGAGCATCCGAATTAGAACTCGGAGGGTGGTGAGTTCGCCGATTTTCACCTGGAACTAGAAATTTTTTTTCTGAGCTCTCTGGTCTTAGAATTCTAAAAATTATATTTTACAGTCTTGGTCTTGTACGCTAGTAAACGGCCGATTTCGAGCAAGTACCCGATACAGTCCTCTGTGACTGGGTTCTGCCAGTTATAATTGAATTTTCACCGTACTTGCAGTTGAGCCTCCGTAGGTCAGTGGTTAGAGCATTCGAACTAGAGTTCGGAGGGTCGTCAGTTTGATTCTCATCTAGAGCTTTTTTTCTAAAGCTTTCTATTATTCTTCTTTCAACCTATTTAAGTCATAAGAGACTTACGAGTATACAAAATATGGCTTCCAGTGTAATAATCATTTATTGGCAAACTTCGTTATCTTCGTATTTACTGGCAAGTCTCTCTCACCATTTGTGGTTGTTTTTCGCAAATTTTATTTTCATTTGAACAGCGTTAGCTAAGATAAGCATTGAGATAAACTTATTAGAGTGATAATATCGTTTGTTAATGTTGATGCACTTGGGGCTCAAATATGGGAGGGTTTTTTTTTAGGTAGGTAGAAGGTAGAACTGCTTTCTGGGACAAGATTTTTCAAATAATTACCATTCTCATTATTAATCTATTTTGCCTGATTTTCTTACACTGTATGTTACATCATTAATTTTCATTATAATAAACCAAAGTTTCTGTAGAAGCTATCCAGTTTCTCCCTTTTCTTTTTCTAAGCCCTTGGCTGAGTGATTACTTTTGTTGACTAACTCGATGCTATGCGATTGAGAGTTTGAGAGTCCTCTGGATTCCAATAAGCGTGAACTGCAGTACAGCATTCTCTTCATCTTTTCTCGGAATCGTTGGTTGATCAGCGCGTAAACAAATGGATTGACTGCGCAGTTGAACATGATGATGGTGTGAACAATAGGAAATACGACGGAACTGAACTTAAGGCTGGTTGTTTCCTCGACGGTGTGTATCATTATATCAAGGAGCCAAGTGATACCAAATATGGCACTGACTGTTATAATCATTAAGGTCACTCGCTTTCGTACCTTCAGCACACCCTGCGTAAGAAATAAAAAACACATTTACAGGTTGTAGCAACATTCGCTGTTGCAGAAAAACACTTTGTAAAGAAGCAAGATATACCTTGGGACTGTGTCGGCCAGCATTGCTCTAGCTAAGTGCGCCTATCGCGCTAGACAGTCTGCCTGGCGCCTCGCATACTCGCCTCTGGAGGAGGCAGCGTGGCCGAGTGGTCAGCGTTTTGGGCTTGCAATTCGGCGGTCCCGGGTTCGAGTCCAACTCTACCCACATGCTGGATTTGCTCTCGGTCGTCTCCAGTTTAGATCCTCGGCCACGCTTGTAAATGGCCAACTGGTTGCCTCTAGCCTGCAAGAAGGCTCACTTGTGCGAGCTAGCTTTTGGCGGCCCCTCGCGTGAGGAAAAGTAACCTCTGATGCATTTGATAATAATAGTAATAATTCTTTAAATAGGGGTCTCCGCGCGCTACGTTGCTTTTACATTCTTGTAGAATGTAAAACGTTTTACGCATGAGTCACGCTTGAAAAGTTTGACCAAACCCAAATGTGTTAAGTTGTCCGATTATACATGTTCGTACCTACGTTTGGATGAAAGAAAAACGTCGACATCAATTGCAAAGAAATTGTAGTGTAACGGTAATAATTCTTTAAAAAGGGGTCTCCGCGCGCTAAGCGTTGCTTTTACTAAGTAATCTGGGTTAATCATCAAACGACGAGAAGTAGCAACTAAGAGAAGTTACCTGATAGTCAAGGATGGCACCAACTTCGCGCACTGTCTTCCATTAAAATGAGGGACAATTTGCTAAATTACACAATTATTACAAAAAGGAAGGAAGAGGCTGCGATAACTACATCCCTACATATGTCATTTTACATACAAGGATTTTAAAAACCATTATGTGTGGATCTTTGCATCAGACATACTCATTTCGTTAATTGTTTAATCTGTAACTGGTGTTTGTTGTTCTTATTTTGGCTATAGTTGCGTGATAACCAGTGGATTGTGCTCAAGACATGTATGAATAGTAAATTTTTAAGTTTGCGAGATGTTTTTTTCCCCATTTAAAGTTGTTTTCTTGATTGTTCCATTGAATCGCGTTGTGTAACTACGCGGGGAAACATGGCCCCTAAATTTTCAAAAGCTCCAAGAAATACATAATTTATTGCATTGTCACAAAAATGGACATTTTTTAATTTTTGGTTTGATTTTACCTTTTTTTCAGGGGAAAATTATACCAGCTAAATATCGTTTTCATAGGATCTTCTTACAAGGCTATTGTGGAGCTTAAGCAAACACGACAGCAACTACTTAGGTTACGTTCACACGCCACCGGACTCCTTAATAGGAAGATAGAGGCAGTAATAACTACATCCCTTCATATGCCATTATAAAGACAAGTCATTAAATCTATTATGAGCGGATCTTGCCTCAGATACATTAATTTGTTTCATTGCTTAAGCTAAACTGTTGTTTCTTGTTCTTATTTTGCTATAGTTGGGTAATAACCAGTGGATTTTACTCAAAATATATATGAACAGTCAAATTTATAGTTTGTCAGATATCGTTTCAAAAGTTAAAGTTGTTTTCACAAGTGCGCCATTGCATTGCGTTATGTACTTACGCGCGGAATCAAAATTTCATGGCCCCTAATAGCTCCAGAAATAAATAATGTACCGCATTGTCAAAAGGTGACAAACTTAACATGTTTTTTTTTTTACCGATTCTTGCAAAGTCTGCTCGACTTCCTAGACGGACTCTTTAGGGCACCAGGTTCACAGGCGAAAACTTATACACAGTTTGTACCAGTAAAAGAAAGAGGAAAACCCTTAAAATCTTTGAAATCTCTTTGTGCGTACGTGTAACTTCATTTTCCTCGACAAATTGAAGTCCTAGCTATTTTTCAGGGAAAAGTTATATTAGGTAGATATTCTTTACCGAGGGTCTTGTTATAAGGCTCTTATAGAGATCAAGCAATTATCGGCGGTGAAAACGTCACTTGAAAAGTAAGTACACTTTCAGTTTCAATCGCTTTTATTTATCCTTGTTTTGCACGTTTTTCAAATGTTGGCGAAATTTTCTGGTGTCGAATTCTAAGGGACTGTACCCAAATCCTGAAAAAAAATCCTTGTGTTGTGATTTCGTCCTCCATAAAACGTGAAATTAGAAAGTCTCGCGCATTCATGGAATAAAAATCGTGATGCTCGTGCAAAGCTTTTCAGAAGTTGCTTTGTTGACTTTCCCGTTCTCGTTGCTGTCGTCGCCATCGTCGTTGCTAAAGCTCCTTGTTATGTTACAGCAGAGTGTTACCGTATGGCTTTGTAACTACTAAAGATTCAAATAAAGATTGATCTACCTACTGTTTGGTCTCCTTTATGGATTAAGTTCCAATACTACCATTCTTCCAAATTGTCTTGTACAGTCTTTGTCTTATACGCTGGTGGACGGCCTATTTCGAGCCAGTCCCCGATACAGTTTTCTACGACTGGTGTAGCTATAATTAAATTTCGACCCTGCTCGCCATAGTGTCTCCAGTAGCTTAGTGGTTAGAGCATCCGAATTAGAACTCGGAGGGTGGTGAGTTCGCCGATTTTCACCTGGAACTAGAAATTTTTTCTGAGCTCTCTGGTCTTAGAATTCTAAAAATTATATTTTACAGTCTTGGTCTTGTACGCTAGTAAACGGCCGATTTCGAGCAAGTACCCGATACAGTCCTCTGTGACTGGGTTCTGCCAGTTATAATTGAATTTTCACCGTACTTGCAGTTGAGCCTCCGTAGGTCAGTGGTTAGAGCATTCGAACTAGAGTTCGGAGGGTCGTCAGTTTGATTCTCATCTAGAGCTTTTTTTTCTAAAGCTTTCTATTATTCTTCTTTCAACCTATTTAAGTCATAAGAGACTTACGAGTATACAAAATATGGCTTCCAGTGTAATAATCATTTATTGGCAAACTTCGTTATCTTCGTATTTACTGGCAAGTCTCTCTCACCATTTGTGGTTGTTTTTCGCAAATTTTATTTTCATTTGAACAGCGTTAGCTAAGATAAGCATTGAGATAAACTTATTAGAGTGATAATATCGTTTGTTAATGTTGATGCACTTGGGGCTCAAATATGGGAGGGTTTTTTTTTAGGTAGGTAGAAGGTAGAACTGCTTTCTGGGACAAGATTTTTCAAATAATTACCATTCTCATTATTAATCTATTTTGCCTGATTTTCTTACACTGTATGTTACATCATTAATTTTCATTATAATAAACCAAAGTTTCTGTAGAAGCTATCCAGTTTCTCCCTTTTCTTTTTCTAAGCCCTTGGCTGAGTGATTACTTTTGTTGACTAACTCGATGCTATGCGATTGAGAGTTTGAGAGTCCTCTGGATTCCAATAAGCGTGAACTGCAGTACAGCATTCTCTTCATCTTTTCTCGGAATCGTTGGTTGATCAGCGCGTAAACAAATGGATTGACTGCGCAGTTGAACATGATGATGGTGTGAACAATAGGAAATACGACGGAACTGAACTTAAGGCTGGTTGTTTCCTCGACGGTGTGTATCATTATATCAGGGAGCCAAGTGATACCAAATATGGCACTGACTGTTATAATCATTAAGGTCACTCGCTTTCGTACCTTCAGCACACCCTGCGTAAGAAATAAAAAACACATTTACAGGTTGTAGCAACATTCGCTGTTGCAGAAAAACACTTTGTAAAGAAGCAAGATATACCTTGGGACTGTGTCGGCCAGCATTGCTCTAGCTAAGTGCGCCTATCGCGCTAGACAGTCTGCCTGGCGCCTCGCATACTCGCCTCTGGAGGAGGCAGCGTGGCCGAGTGGTCAGCGTTTTGGGCTTGCAATTCGGCGGTCCCGGGTTCGAGTCCAACTCTACCCACATGCTGGATTTGCTCTCGGTCGTCTCCAGTTTAGATCCTCGGCCACGCTTGTAAATGGCCAACTGGTTGCCTCTAGCCTGCAAGAAGGCTCACTTGTGCGAGCTAGCTTTTGGCGGCCCCTCGCGTGAGGAAAAGTAACCTCTGATGCATTTGATAATAATAGTAATAATTCTTTAAATAGGGGTCTCCGCGCGCTACGTTGCTTTTACATTCTTGTAGAATGTAAAACGTTTTACGCATGAGTCACGCTTGAAAAGTTTGACCAAACCCAAATGTGTTAAGTTGTCCGATTATACATGTTCGTACCTACGTTTGGATGAAAGAAAAACGTCGACATCAATTGCAAAGAAATTGTAGTGTAACGGTAATAATTCTTTAAAAAGGGGTCTCCGCGCGCTAAGCGTTGCTTTTACTAAGTAATCTGGGTTAATCATCAAACGACGAGAAGTAGCAACTAAGAGAAGTTACCTGATAGTCAAGGATGGCACCAACTTCGCGCACTGTCTTCCATTAAAATGAGGGACAATTTGCTAAATTACACAATTATTACAAAAAGGAAGGAAGAGGCTGCGATAACTACATCCCTACATATGTCATTTTACATACAAGGATTTTAAAACCATTATGTGTGGATCTTTGCATCAGACATACTCATTTCGTTAATTGTTTAATCTGTAACTGGTGTTTGTTGTTCTTATTTTGGCTATAGTTGCGTGATAACCAGTGGATTGTGCTCAAGACATGTATGAATAGTAAATTTTTAAGTTTGCGAGATGTTTTTTCCCCATTTAAAGTTGTTTTCTTGATTGTTCCATTGAATCGCGTTGTGTAACTACGCGGGGAAACATGGCCCCTAAATTTTCAAAAAGCTCCAAGAAATACATAATTTATTGCATTGTCACAAAATGGACATTTTTTAATTTTTGGTTTGATTTTACCTTTTTTTCAGGGGAAAATTATACCAGCTAAATATCGTTTTCATAGGATCTTCTTACAAGGCTATTGTGGAGCTTAAGCAAACACGACAGCAACTACTTAGGTTACGTTCACACGCCACCGGACTCCTTAATAGGAAGATAGAGGCAGTAATAACTACATCCCTTCATATGCCATTATAAAGACAAGTCATTAAATCTATTATGAGCGGATCTTGCCTCAGATACATTAATTTGTTTCATTGCTTAAGCTAAACTGTTGTTTCTTGTTCTTATTTTGCTATAGTTGGGTAATAACCAGTGGATTTTACTCAAAATATATATGAACAGTCAAATTTATAGTTTGTCAGATATCGTTTCAAAAGTTAAAGTTGTTTTCACAAGTGCGCCATTGCATTGCGTTATGTACTTACGCGCGGAATCAAAATTTCATGGCCCCTAATAGCTCCAGAAATAAATAATGTACCGCATTGTCAAAAGGTGACAAACTTAACATGTTTTTTGTTTTTACCGATTCTTGCAAAGTCTGCTCGACTTCCTAGACGGACTCTTTAGGGCACCAGGTTCACAGGCGAAAACTTATACACAGTTTGTACCAGTAAAAGAAAGAGGGAAAACCCCTTAAAATCTTTGAAATCTCTTTGTGCGTACGTGTAACTTCATTTTCCTCGACAAATTGAAGTCCTAGCTATTTTTTCAGGGAAAAAGTTATATTAGGTAGATATTCTTTACCGAGGGTCTTGTTATAAGGCTCTTATGGAGATCAAGCAATTATCGGCGGTGAAAACGTCACTTGAAAAGTAAGTACACTTTCAGTTTCAATCGCTTTTATTTATCCTTGTTTTGCACGTTTTTCAAATGTTGGCGAAATTTTCTTGTCTCGAATTCTAAAGGACTGTACCCAAATTCTGAAAAAAAATCCTTGTGTTGTGATTCGTACTCCATAAAACGTGAAATTAGAAAGTCTCACGTTTTCATGGAATAAGAAATTGTGATGCTCGTGCAAAGCTTTTCAAAAGTTGCTTTGTTGACTTTCCCTTTCTCGTTGCTGTCGTCGCCATCGTGGTTGCTAAAGCTCCTTGTTATGTTACAGCAGAGTGTTACCGTATGGCTTTGTAACTACTAAAGATTCAAATAAAGATTGATCTATCTACTGTTTGGTCTCCTTTATGGATTCAATTCCAGTTTTCCAACAGTACTAACATTCTTCCAAATTGTCTTGTACAGTCTATGTCTTAGCCGCTGGTGGACGGCCTATTTCGGGCCAGTCCTCGATACAGTTTTCTACGACTGGTGTAGCTATAATTAAATTTCGACCCTGCTCGCCATAGTGTCTCCAGTAGCTTAGTGGTTAGAGCATCCGAATTAGAACTCGGAGGGTGGTGAGTTCGCCGATTTTCACCTGGAACTAGAAATTTTTTCTGAGCTCTCTGGTCTTAGAATTCTAAAAATTATATTTTACAGTCTTGGTCTTGTACGCTAGTAAACGGCCGATTTCGAGCAAGTACCCGATACAGTCCTCTGTGACTGGGTTCTGCTAGTTATAATTGAATTTTCACCGTACTTGCAGTTGAGCCTCCGTAGGTCAGTGGTTAGAGCATTCGAACTAGAGTTCGGAGGGTCGTCAGTTTGATTCTCATCTAGAGCTTTTTTTTCTAAAGCTTTCTATTATTCTTCTTTCAACCTATTTAAGTCATAAGAGACTTACGAGTATACAAAATATGGCTTCCAGTGTAATAATCATTTATTGGCAAACTTCGTTATCTTCGTATTTACTGGCAAGTCTCTCTCACCATTTGTGGTTGTTTTTCGCAAATTTTATTTTCATTTGAACAGCGTTAGCTAAGATAAGCATTGAGATAAACTTATTAGAGTGATAATATCGTTTGTTAATGTTGATGCACTTGGGGCTCAAATATGGGAGGGTTTTTTTTTTTAGGTAGGTAGAAGGTAGAACTGCTTTCTGGGACAAGATTTTTCAAATAATTACCATTCTCATTATTAATCTATTTTGCCTGATTTTCTTACACTGTATGTTACATCATTAATTTTCATTATAATAAACCAAAGTTTCTGTAGAAGCTATCCAGTTTCTCCCTTTTCTTTTTCTAAGCCCTTGGCTGAGTGATTACTTTTGTTGACTAACTCGATGCTATGCGATTGAGAGTTTGAGAGTCCTCTGATTCCAATAAGCGTGAACTGCAGTACAGCATTCTCTTCATCTTTTCTCGGAATCGTTGGTTGATCAGCGCGTAAACAAATGGATTGACTGCGCAGTTGAACATGATGATGGTGTGAACAATAGGAAATACGACGGAACTGAACTTAAGGCTGGTTGTTTCCTCGACGGTGTGTATCATTATATCAAGGAGCCAAGTGATACCAAATATGGCACTGACTGTTATAATCATTAAGGTCACTCGCTTTCGTACCTTCAGCACACCCTGCGTAAGAAATAAAAAACACATTTACAGGTTGTAGCAACATTCGCTGTTGCAGAAAAACACTTTGTAAAGAAGCAAGATATACCTTGGGACTGTGTCGGCCAGCATTGCTCTAGCTAAGTGCGCCTATCGCGCTAGACAGTCTGCCTGGCGCCTCGCATACTCGCCTCTGGAGGAGGCAGCGTGGCCGAGTGGTCAGCGTTTTGGGCTTGCAATTCGGCGGTCCCGGGTTCGAGTCCAACTCTACCCACATGCTGGATTTGCTCTCGGTCGTCTCCAGTTTAGATCCTCGGCCACGCTTGTAAATGGCCAACTGGTTGCCTCTAGCCTGCAAGAAGGCTCACTTGTGCGAGCTAGCTTTTGGCGGCCCCTCGCGTGAGGAAAAGTAACCTCTGATGCATTTGAGTATAACATCTGCACGTGCCACTTCCTGTCATTATCTTTACATTTGCTTTGCTCCTATTGGATAGTATCGACACAACGAAAGGGGCGAAACTGAAAAATCAATAGCCCGCGTGCAGGCTCACTTTTCCTGGCGCGATGGCGGCAAAAATTTTTCTGGATTAAGCACAAGCCCGCTCACAGGCAAGGTAGTCTCCAATACCATTTTCTGCACTGAAGCACCAACTCCGCTCTATGGCCATTACCTTACGCATGCGCATAACCATATCACCCCGGCAGTGTCAGCCATGAAGAGCTGTTTCGTCCTCATTATTACTCATCAGCTGGCATAGTCCCAGGCAAGAGGGCGACTGCCCATCCCACTTATTTTCATTTCTAATGGGCAACTGATGTTACAAATTTGTATGAGAAACTAATTGATGGATACTAGGATGTTACGACGTCAGGGACTAGGCTAGTAAGAGGACTAAGTTTCAACAAATGCACTAGATGTTTACCACTGAGCGAACGTAAAACGTCATTGCGGGCCCAAGACTGGGAGAAGGCATATAAGTTTTTATATTTATAAGAATAACCAAACTCTTTAATGCTAAAACGCTCTTTGGTAAGTAGACGTGAGAAATTCTGTAGATTGACAGTTCCACGTTTGTGGACCTGTATGTTGCGGACAGTCCATATAGTATAAGGTGTAACATTATATAAGATAGTTACAAATTCGAGTGAGGAGATCAATTTGGTACAAGTGTGGCTTACAGCATTAAGTGCGATCTACCAAATATAAAACAACCTTCCTAAACCTCCGTCATTCCAAAATTTCTGTGTTAAATTTTACCTAAATCACCTCTAATACAGCCGATATATAGGCCTTTTAAAAGAAACAGCGTCAGCAAAATTTTGCCTTTTGAATTTATTCATAGGTAGGTTTCTCCCACGAGCTTAACCTTAACCTCTGTTACCATTGAGTAATGTTTGAATATCAGTTCTGTAACAAGGCGTGTCGTCGACCATTTTCCGATTGGGATTGGTACATATTTGAATAATAAAAAAAAAACATTTTTTAAGTATTATCTTACTTATAGATATATCTTAATCAAACCGTGGAACAGTATCGAACAAACAGAACCAAATAGTTAACAAGTAAACAAAAGAAAATATCATTTCCACAAAGCAATTTGTTTTCCCCCACAAACTTTTGCATGACATCGTTTTCAATTTTTCTTGGGATTGGCGACCGAACCTTAAAAAAAAGACTGAAAACAAACTTTGGCAAAATATTTGGGGAAAACAAGGTGCGTTATTGGGAATGTGAATCTAGCAGACAGTGCGTAGTACTCCGCTATCTGTTTCAAGGGAAAGTAAAATCAGTCTAGCTATTAAGACAGAAGTATAATCAGAAAGAATATTGCATAAGCTCCACTAAATCTCATCAGAGGAGCTTAAGCCTAAGTTTTTCTATGTATTAAGGTTTTGATATGTGACAAAAACCTACCTTCTGTCGATGTGTGAGTTCAACGTTGTTGCTCCTGGTCCACAAGAAGTACACGACTCTGGAATATAACCCAATCATCACCGCAATCGAAATAACAACCATGGAAAACCATAAGAAAAAAGAACCTTTGCGTAGCCAATTTTTGTAGGAAGGCTGCCTCTCGGTGCAGAACTTTGATTCGCGTTTTCTGAATTCATTGTCTAATGCCATGTTTGTAACTCCCGGGATTTGCAAAAATAAAGAAAGGACCCAAAAACAAGGTATAATGATCTAGGAATGGAATATAAAAACAACATTAGGTTAAATCGAACTCTGCTAAGAATTTACATTTTCATTTATTTACAAAGCTTTTACTTTGTACTGTGCCACGCCGTTCTCCAAAGTGAAGCGTTCTGTGCCACAAGTGAAAAAGTAGCAGCGAGGACTGGATTGAGACGGAAGTAAATATTCAGTAGTGAAGACTACGATTTAGTTCACTAAACCCTCTCGGCCAAAAGCTAAGGCATGATGTTCCATGTGTGTGAAAGACTTGTTTTAGTTGTCTGCCATTGCTGTTCATACTATACCGGATATCCGGTATAGTTAGAATATAGCCATATTCATAGATACTCTACGGTAATTCACTTCAGTACATTTTGTTGCATTTGGTCAGGGATTCTTATATTTTCCCTATTTCCTTATGCGCTGCTAATGCTAACTTATATTCCTGATTTGAGTTGAATGATCATTCTTTGAATTTTTTTTCAGCTTACTTACTTATCTTTGTTATGTATTTACCATACAGCGATGCCTTATTGTTGGGTGTTGAAACTGCAACATACCTTCAGTCTTCGCATGGTAAATTTTCCTTTGCCGCCAACATAGTATATAACGCTGAAGTATCGTTCCGTGGCAATAGCAACCAGAGTTAAGACTGAAGAAAAAGCCCCAACCCATGCAATGGTTCCCTGTGCTATACAAAACACCTTGCCACTCACTCCCCCTGGATGACCGTTAGTGTGTCCCAACACCACGCCTGCTAAACTGGACGTTGTATAGATGATATCCGCTACCGCGAGGTTCACCAGTAAGTAATCTATGGGATTTCTGTGAAATGAAATCGTAAAGTTACTCAACGCATTGTAACGTGGTCTATTACGGCATTTATCGAAAATGGCGATAAGAGGCGAAAGATTGGAAAGGAAGCAACCACAATTTTCAGCCACCCCCCCAAAAAAAAATAAATAAATAAATAAAATAAAATAAAAAATTGGGAGTAAAGTTATAAAAGGTGATTGATTGGCGAAATGAAGATAGGTTTGGTGAGAGTTTCGAAAAATCTGGGGTTCCATATATTGGGATTACCTACTATTTATTTAGCCTGCGAAAACATCCGTTTCTCCGCGCTCTTCGCCACTGGGGACGTTTCGAAACGTCCCCAGCGGCGAAGAGCGAGGAGAAACGGATGTTTTCGTAGGCTAATGTTTATTTTTAAGTTGTTCGCCTTTCTTTTCATCAGTTGGACGCGTAAATGACAATAAAGTGGCATCAAGTGGCTAAGGGGAGTTGAAAGTATCACTCCATAGCTTTCTACAAGGCGACCGTGTATTTACCTCATGTCTCGATTCTTCTTAATAACGGCACAAACAAAAGAGTTTCCGGCGATGCTTGTGATGATAAGCACTAACGTTACTACTGTCACAGCAATTTCAGTGGATTCCCACATGACTTTGTCAGTGTTGGCCGCGATAACTGAAATTTGAAGAAATATGTATTTTCCTAAGGACATTCCCATAACACTTTTTCACAAAAAGAACTTTCGGTGTTGCTCGAGTAAAAAATTTAGATTGAAGTTTCTTGTGTTCGACTTACTACAAACTTTTCGGAGCTTTGTTTTATGCCTGGTCACGCTTTTAGTCATACCCCCGCTCCAAAAACAACTTAGTTGTACGTAGCCTCCCACACAGGCGTTTTTAGGGGAGCTCCTTTCCCATTATTTCATAAGCGTAGTAAGTGACCAATTAACAGTTTTGAAATAAAGTGTTAGCAGGCAAAACACGACTCATAAGCTCGTTGTAGTGTAAAAACGTGACCCCAGAGTTATCTTTTTCCTTCTTTGTTTTTCGTCGCTAATGTTATGCAGTGCACGGAGTATTCTAAAATCTGTCTAAAATCTTACTTTTGGCACTCTGAGTCTAACATTTATTAGAGGTCATAAAGCTTTCCCCAGTGTTTCACGCAAATCGATTAATAATCGGGTTATCCTGCATACAATGCGATTGCCTAAGCTCGGGAAAGGAATGTTTTTCTCGGTTGAGCAGGCGTTTTTGAGGAGAGACGAAATACGACTCCCCTAAAAACACCTGCGTTGGAGGCTAAGTTTTACATCTCTCACATTTTATTCATGTTTTGATTGTCAGTTATAATTTTGCAAGGTGTTATGCAGCTTTTTTTTCCTTTCGCGGACTATATCGGAATGACGCGTGAATGAAATGTCTGAAAATGGATTAAGCATTGCGTGTAATCTTCACAAATTAACTAACATTGTTCATTTTCGCCGAAAAGAAATTACTTATACCATTTGTCTCATGTATTGTTATTGTTTTAACTTTGTTGTAGGGCAGATTTAGCCGCAATGTAATACTGTACACAACACGCAAAGGGCAGTTTGTGTACACAAAATTATGGTTATTCATAGAGGGAAATGTTAAATAGGTTATAAGTCTTCCTGGGTCTTTTCGCCACAAGATACAAGAAGTATATTAAACTTACACCAGTTAAGGTTACTGAGTATTATGATGTATAATCGAAAAGGTAGTTTACATGTAAAGGTTTGTCGGTCCGATTTTCCCGCAAAGAAAACAAAATCGGCCTAGCTTACCATATGGGCAGAATCCCTTTCAGAGGGAAAAGTTGAACCATGAGCATAAACTGTGAACTGGACGCAGCCAAAGAGTTTCGTGAATGGCAACCAACCTTTCTAAACACTTATTCATGGGCTATAAGCTTCTCAAAGGGGTGTAGTGGCGGGGCGGGGAGGAGGTGGGGGGCAGTGATGCAGGTTTGGGTTGAATTGGAATTCTTTCTAAGACTATTACTTTGATCGAATTTGTTTTATAGTTTTCTCTTTTTGTCCTCTTGTTTTAAAATCTTATAAGTCTAAATTTCTGGATTTTCATAGATTGGACTTCAATCGTTGTAATTTTTTTGACGGGCTCCTGTTTTTCAGTAATTACAAGTATAACTGGACGCTTTGCTTCTAACCTTGGTTATATCTATATATTAAAATTATGCGAGAATTGACTCACTGGCGGTAAAACAAGTTTGTCTTGGGCCGGTTTAACACGCAACTAAAAGCACAACCACTCTTTGCTATCTGCAACACCTTTTCGAAACCTATAACAACCTGTTAAATATGGTTTGATTCGTGGCTGGTAAAAGCACACAACGCCTCTATTCAAGTGGCACGTTTTTGTTGTCCTTAATATTCCGTCTTTATTTGCTAGTTCCTCGGTAAATTCACGATATAAAGGGTGTTAAATCTATCAGATAGTTTTTAAATAGCAGTTGACATCTGTTAAGTGGTTGGTTTCTGCCATTTTCTCTAGTTCTAAATCAATTTCCTCAGAGCTTCTCACAGGTTGATATATTTTTTTCTGTCGATATTCCTTGCAATTGACGTCATTGGTATTGATATCACAAACGTCTTCTTATTTTGGTCAGCGAAAGTAGGTGGTTATGAAGAATTAGCCACGCGATTTGAGCCATCCAGAAACAGAGAATTATTTTGAATAAAATAATAATAATCCAAATATCCAGAATAATGTGAAAACAAACAATCGTTGATTTCTTAATGTCTCGTTTAACACCTTCTGACGTGTGGGATGAAAATCTAAACGATATCACGTTTTGTTGTTAAGTCAAAACTTTACTTTCTTATAAAATGGAGACTCTTTGTTCGGCGAATTAACAGATGAAGATATACGAATGTGATTAAAAAAACAGAAGTATTAATTAGCATTGTGAATTATTAATTTGAGCAAGTCATCATAAGAAAACCTTTCCATCCATCCTGGCGAATTGAAAATTTCACACAAAAGAGTATGTGGGTAAAAACCTTCTTTTTCTTAATTTTTGATGTACAGAAACTTTGTTATTTACAAAAAGAAGTTTTTTAAAACGGGAATTCATGTTAGACATTATCATTCATCGTTCTTGGCGCGATTTTTTCCTTTTGTTAAAAAGGAGGGTAAACGACTCACCAGATGATATTCCAAGAAAAAAATACCTGATTTGAAAAAATCTTCTTCTTTTCGCTCCTTATTTGATGGTTTAACAGTTAATTCACATATGTATGCTTTGCAAACAATAATTGAACTGTCCACACAAATAATGTAAAAATAATGTTCGAGTGTGATTCTTTTTATCAAAGATTTAAGACGGACTCAAATTTAATCTCCCTTATATGGTAAATAACGTCATAGTTGACAGGAATATCATTAACTTTAGACGAAACAGGAGGCTGTTAGTAATTACTACAACAGGTGCAAGGTAAATCGAACTCTAAAATGTCAATCTCTTATGTAAATTTCAATGGTATCTTAGGGTGCTTTCCAAAAGTCAGAACTGACTGACTCGACGGGACATTTTTTTCAAATGAAATATTAATTTTTCTCGAATTATTTGCTAAAACCAATCACAGCCGTTCACACCGTTTAGTAATAAAGTTATGTGGTTGGATAGTACTAATTGATGGTGAAATCGTCCTTGCGAATGGAATGTTTTGGCCATCCAGTTCTGAAAAATAATAAACACTCAAAAATATTCCTCTGATATTTTTAAACAGCGATTTTTTCGAACTTTGCGCTTTTAAAAAGGCTGCATTGTGGCTAAAGCAAGCTTCATAATTGGATAATTATACTTCTATATGACTCAGTTGGCCATAATACTTGGTATTAAAATGAAAGTTTTCGTCACGGCTAAGTTCGTAACGGGAAAAAAAGTAAGATTGCCTAATGAAAAATAATTTTTTAATTGTAACTTTTGAATTTTTGAAAAACGTATTACTCTTTTTTATTAGTGCCTTTTATTCCTTTTATTCTTTTATTCTTTAGAGTTTGCAAACATAATCCAAAAAATATGTGTTATTAAGCAGGCTTTTTCAGTCAAAATGACTGGGTATTGGCCGAGTTCTTTTTTGCATTTTTATTTACCGAGACCAAATAAAGGATTTTAAGTATTTTCTGCGGGAACAGTTATTGAATTCTACTGTCGTCGGATCTGAAAATTGATAGAGTTCTCGAAGGGTGTTATCCGCCTCGGAATAATTCTTCAGGTTATACTCATCCTCAACCGATAATTGTTAAATATCAGCTTAGACTTGACAAGACTGGTCCTCAGACTATTCAAGGGGAACATAGAGAGACTGAAAAGGCCGAAATTGTGAAAAAGCGAAAGCTAAGAAAAAGGCTAGGAAAAGGATTTCATTAAAGTCTTCTATCCCTGGTCACATCCTCCACCTTTAATAATTTGCAAAAAGTATTATTATAGCAAGGAGCATTACTGCCTTATTTCCCACTTTGAAAATTCAGCAAATATATTATGGTCACTGTTTTTTTCTCCCAACAAAGAAAAAATGACAAAAAAAGTAACAAAGTAGACAGAGGTTTTTTTATTTATTTATCCATCAATTTATTTATTTCGAGTCTGTGCACTTTATCGATATCTATTTTTATTGGGGGAGCCACAAATAAATATATCTTATTCGACAGTTTAGTGTGTAGTATCGTGCCCGTAGGGATCAAAATACAAGAGCCAAGATACTAGACAATAAACCGTGCAATAAGAGATTTATTATTTAACTCGAGATGTTTTAAAATAGAACTCAGTAAATAAATCAAACGACAATGCGTGACAGATTAACGTGAGTCCTTTGCAAGTCCAGTTTTCGCGCGCTTTATGCAACGTCGTTGCTGATTGATCTAAAATGAAAACTTGTCAAACAACTTTACCCAGCAAATCAAATTTTGTCGGATTTCTCGGGTTTTCTTCGGCGCTTTGGGGTGCTATCTTTCAAACATTTGCTAGGAAAACAAAGATGGAATGACAAATAATTGTGAGTCGAGGCTTATGATGGTCTTCCAGTTCTCATGTAAAACCGACTGCAAGAAGGTAAACTGAGCACACAAAATTGCGATGGAAAGGCGAAAAATCTGCCACGAATTGAAGGAGTTTTAAAGAGCTACTCGTAAGCAACGTCACCGTGCATCTCATGCACACGCTCAGGTCTGTTTTGATCTTCTCTGTTGTATTTTGAACTTATAATGTGTTTATGTCCTGACTATTTTTAATGAGTGTTGACATTTCATTCAAGGAGGCAACGTTATTCTGAAAACACGGTTTTATTCAACCTTCCAATTTCGGGAAACGACGCATTTTCTGCCATGTGCGACGGTCTTTTGGAGTACAAATATCGTGAGATATTTGTACTCGTTTTGGGTGTTATTTGTAGTCTACCGAGTGAAGCTGAATAATAATAGCCCATATTTTCTTAGCCTTCCCAAACGAAATGACGCGAACCATTTTATTTTCCAACCAGAACTTCCGGTTCTTAAATGTAAATAGTACGTTCCAATGGACAAAGTTTTTATCGTTCAGAGTCACGCGACTTTAACCGTACGTACAAACGCCCGCCCTTGAAGAGTTTGGAGGGGTAGCCAGGGAGAC